CCCCCCCTCCGCCATCAATACCGCTCCCTCCTCCGCCGCGCCCACTACCGCACCCTCTGCGCCCTCGAACTTGACCACCGACTTCCGGAAAAAACCCTCGCCTGCAGCGCCTGCCTCGCCACCCACCCCGCTCCCGCTTTCTCGCTCAGCGAGCAGCGGAAGCCGCCGCAGCGCCGCCAGTGCGCCGGCAGCATGCGTGTGTTCCGCCCCTGCGTGCACAAGGCGGTGACGTTTGCGGCGCTGGAGGCGGGCGGGGGCGAGGGTTTGGGGTGTGCGGTTCCGCATGGGGTGGTGCGCGGGAGGGAGGCGGGGGAGGTGGGGAGGCGCTGGGTGGGAGGGGAGGGCGGGAGGCATCGGGTGGGCGGGGAGTTGGTGGTGAGTTGGGCGGGTGTGCTTATGCGGGTGCCGCCGGGGAGGGGGGTGGGGAGGGAGGAGGTGGTGGAGAGGTTGGGGAGAGTGGGGGAGGGGGGTTGTCCGCATTTGAGGGGAGGGGACGGGACGGGACGGGACGGGACGGGGATGGGAGGGTGGTATGAGAGGTGGATGGGGGGAAGGAGGCCACATGGGAAGTGGTTTCAGGGGTGGAGGAGGGGGCAGTTTGGGCTGGCGGGGAGGTGTGGGGAGGAGGGGTGTCAGACGTCTTTCTGGGTTGAGCGAAAGAGGTATGCGGATTTTAAGGAGGGCGAGGAGGAGGTGACGGAGATTGTGTTGAGGGTTGAGAGGAATCTGGGGCCGTTGAGGGATGCGGCGGATCCGAGGTGGGTTGCGCAGACGGTGGAGCCGGGGGAAATCGAGATGGCGAAGGTTAGATATAGGCCGCTTGAGGATGATGGGTCGCACTAGGGAGGAGGCTTTCAACATGATTTTGTCGAATGGTTGGGTTGCTACTTAGGAGTAATGTTACCGTCTAGAGCGCGTTCATGGGTGGGAACGAAATCATGAGCATTCGAAAGCTGGTCTAGTTCTAGTTCTTGATACTAGAATATATCTTACGTTTTCGAGACTACCTTGAAGTACCTCATGCAGTGGCTAGTGAGTGTATGATACCTCGTCATCGCTGTGTGTATACCGTTCTTCCACTGCTTGCAGTTCGTAAATGTTTTCTCAGCAACTAGAGCGACCGCGGGGATATCCAATCGGTGTACATACATCTGGTGCCTGCTGCCTCAGGTGGCCTAGAAAGTATTCTGAATGTTCAAGACGATGTACTTCAGGGTTCTCAAAATGTAACGAAGGACTTCAGGAAGTGGGAGGCAAGTGTACATAGTAAAGTGATCATCTCTCTAATCCGGGTTGCATGCCGACAGGTGTAATGTACATACAAGTGAATTCAAACCCTTAGCCAGCTACTTACAGGTAGCAAACAACTACCCAGAGGCACCAAAAAACACCCAGAGGCATCAACCAACTACCCAGAGGTCATGAAATGCCTCGGAAATACTCCCCAGACTAGAAACTCACTCACTAAGCCAACCTCGGCTATCGTGCACACGCTGTCTCTTCATATTAACCAAACAGTCACTGTCCCACTCCCACATCATCTCGGTTCCCAGTTTTCGTGTTCTGTCAGAGTCTCGTATGCGTTAGCCATACGAATTTATGTGAACAACCTATTTCGGCGGTCCAAAATATGTCTCGCCTACCTTGACCTCTCTGGAAGGGACGCCCTTTCCGACGGAGGCAGGTGGCGAAAGTCCGATCTCCTTGAGGGGATTACCTTCGGTCCAGTCCCACGAGGTGGTGTCGTGCTCGGCTTTCTCATGCTCCAGCTCCACCTTCCACTCATCGACCTTCGAGATGCTATCCTCGTTCTCTGTCACCATCTCCATGCGCTCATCCTCCTTCTTCATGAAAAACTCGAGTTGTCTAAGCTGGCCCTCTTGTACCACTTGAGCCTTCAGGTTGGGGACCTTCTCCAGATATAACTCCACGGCCTCCCAGTCCCCGTGGTGGCCGGCTACCCAGTGGAAGCACATTTGCTGGATCGCGTGGGACGTCAAGTCCGCATGATTTTTTCGATTTTTCCATAGCAGGGAAAGTGTGTACGCGTCGAGTACATCATGAGACATGCGTTGCTTGATCCGATTCAAGATAGTAACTACGCTAGTCCGAACCTTCATATTGCGCGCCGTCTCGTAGACGCGATAGAGGTCGAGGATTGTGATTCCACGCTTCTTGCGCGGGAAGGCAGAGAGACACAAGATTCCGCCGGCAGCGGCGCAGTCTTTCATCCATTTGAGAATGACTTTGAGTGCGAAACTGGTGTTGGAGGTGGTGGAGATGATATATTGGTCTGGAGCAGCACCTACCAGAGTCGGAGGAGAGCTGAAGGCGGTTTCTGCGGCTATGGAAAGGCGCGTGAGAAGCCGGAGATGGATCTTGTCAATGAGTTCTCTACCCGTGGCGGTGTTGTGGTAGACTTCGACTTCTGGGCCTTGCAGACAGTCTTCAAGCCGGGTGGCTGATGCCGTCGGCGCAATAGAGTTGGCAATAATTGTAGCCTCTACGCCGTTGAATGCAGGCCCACTCTCTTTCTCAATGTTTTGTGACATTTTGGAAGCCGTGTCGTTGACTAGCGTAGTCTCGTCGCCGTCCTGCGCGGTTTCGAGCGGAGGTGTTGCGTTCTGGTTGGCGGCCGCGGCCGCTGCAGCTGCAGCTCTGGCTCTTGTAGCCTTCTTCTTCTGTTTCAAATTGCCAGTCTTGGTCTTCTTAGAGCGTTGCGGTTCGCCGTTGGTGGTGCCGTACGGAGGAACTTTAGATTGCTCCATTGTTTGTTTGAGTGAACGAATTGTTGTGTGTTGTCTATTCGTCGCATTAGCATAAGGGTGAAGCCAATGCGTCACGGCGCCTTATGGTGTACAGTAGTAACTCCTCTGAGGCTTATCAGTGTTATTGGAGTGAATGTTGTGGATTCATGCGAGGAAGCGAGCTCGGGGTGGTGAGAAGATGGATAGATGGTGGGCGCGTTGCGGAAACAACAACACGACTGCAGGGCAACGGCAGCCTGCGCACTGGCCAAGAACGCTCGACAGCTTTCTTGGGACGAAAAGATGGGACAGGAACGGTCCGTAGACTTGCCAAGACTTCCGTTTGCTGTCTACGGCATGCCGTTTGGTCGACAAAAGTTTCCGCACTCACCACATAACACCATGTCATTCTTGCGTCACGCTCTTCTACCACCTCTAGCAATTTGGAAATAGAGCCAGATGTTTCAAAAGCTTGCTAGCATTGTCTCGCACCTCTGTCTACGATATCTCTAGGAGTGACATGGTGAAGTGACCAATCGGATGAAAGCAGGGGAAAATCAATCTATATCTTACCGTGATAACACGTCCATCTTGTGGCATGCCACTTCGATAGGACTGCAGCATATTGGGCTTGCCAGAAGGCCTATACGAGGCTTGATGGTGCAATTTCCATCACCTGCAGTACCCTGAGGCGAGTTATTTGCTAGGCTCTAAGCAGTGCCAAGCAAACCATGTAGGAACTTTCTCGTAGAATTTTACCTTTCGACAATTCAGATGTGGGGGAGTAGGTGTATATGCACTTAATTGTAAGACTATCTGATGCTCATATTGTTACCCTGAGTTGATCGTTACTGGGCAAGCCAGCTCATCATCGCTTTTGTACCGCATCTCGGGAAACCAGCCAGGCTTCTAGAACGTCAAATCCCACCGCAAAAGACTCCAATGGAGTTTCCAAGTTCTGAGCCAAAGCAGGCCGACCATGTCGCCGGAAAAGCCAGAGCCAAAGACAAAAGCAGAATTGGGGATGATGTTTGAAGAAGGGGAAAAGTCAGAAGTCTCAGAGGATGTCGCCTGACCGCCGCCTACCCGCCGCTTCATCATCATTAGATAACCAAACCGGTGCGCGTCATCTCTCCTGGCTTAGCCTATGTGACATTAGCTTGTTGTTTAATGCACTATAGTGGAGACTTACCTCACGAGAAGACGTAGTAATGCCTTCACCGTTGCGGTACACCTCGACAGCGCGGCGGCGTGGGCGGCGGTGCTCTACAACAGCGATGTTCGGGTTGTTGTAGTTTGCTGGAATCTGTCCGACGGGCTTGAGAGGCGCTCGAGAACTAGGCGCACGTCCACGACGGAAGTGATTGGGGGTCGACTTGTTGAGGGCTGCTCCTTTGTCAGGTGCGTCACCAGCTTCGCCATCGGTATTCTTGGGGGCTTTGCGAGGATCAGGCGTTGAGAGACCAATCTTCGGAAGGGCTACTTGAGGAGTAGCGATTGCATTCTCCTGACTCTGCGTAGCTGCTGGTGCGAGGCCCTTCGCTTTGGGTTTGGTGCGCTTTGCTCGACGGCGTCGGGATACAGTAGCGTCCACAACCGCGTCGGCTTTTGGGGCCGGCCCAGTAACAAAGTCTGAAGGTTCTTGTTGCGTCTTGTCGTTCTTGTGGATATTGATGTTCTGCTGGGGACCACTCTGGCGCTTTAGCGAGACGACGTCGATCCGAACCTGATTTGGCCTGCCACGGCGTTGAGGACGGCCGTTGTGTTGGCGGACCAGACTGAACTTGAGCTGAGCGATGGCAACATCTAAAGCCTTGCCGAACTCGGGGTCCTTGCTCGCCAGCGCAAGGTAAGCGGAGAAATCGTAGCAAACGGGTCGGAAGAACAGTCTAGCGATGGCCTGGACAGCGCTTTCGGCTACGGCTGGAGTGTAAGCCAGGATGACCGACAGCTGTTCGATAGTTGGAATGACGGACTTCAGCTTCCACTCCAGTCGAGCACACGTTTTCTCCCTTAGGGAGTGATACTCCAGGAAGACGCAGTGGTAGTAGAGCGTAATCAGATCGGGAAGTCGTAGGTCTTCGAACTTGAGAGCGTTCTTGGCGTTGCTGTTCTGTTCTCCGGCCAGCATCCAGCGATAAATGAAGAGAAGCACGTTCTTGTCGCCACAAGGGATGAAAAGTCGCGAGGAGTGGTCAGACGCCAGAGCCTGCTTCAAATAATGGGAGTAGTGGGAAAGGACCTTGACGTAGGCTGCTTCGATGGCAATATACTGGTTCCCCGGATCGCCCACCACGACGCTGACCTTCCGACCTGTCTTAAGCTTGGAGAATTCCAGTGGGGAAAGCACAGCCTCATCGTGCGCCGAGGGTTTGCTCTGCTGAGGGGAGTCCGCCTGTTTCGTGGCGTCTGCCTTGAAATCGGTCGCCTTGGCAGGCTGTGATAGCATCGGCGCAGACTCTGCAGCCTTAGGTGCTCCCATTGGAGCTGGGGCCGCGGACGTGGAGCTGGCAACATTCTTGGATGAGGCCTTGGCCTTCGGCTTGCGGCGGGCAGACTTGTTGACTGGCACCGGTGAAGGGCCGTCAACTTGACGGAGTGTAGTAGCAACAAGAGTCATGGTGCTGGGGGGGTGGATAGAGTGGTCGAATTGGATAGCGGATAGCAGGGTAGGCGAGAAACCTTGAAAGTGAGCTTAGCCTGGTTCTCGGTGGGAAGAGGTTGAAAAGTGTCGGAGAAGGAGTGTCCAAGAAGTTGTGATAGCTGGTGGAGGTGGTGATGTGAAAAGCCGGCGGAGGTGGTGGTGTGGAAAGAGAGAGGAGTAGTTATATGAGGAGAAGAGAATTTATAGGAAGCAAGTGAGGAATGCGTGAGAAGACCAAAGGTTCCAGTCTTGGAGGCAACGGTGAATGTCGAGTGAGGCTGTTATCAGATTGAGGTCGCTTAGGGCGGATTGAAGCAACACCTGCAAGACGAGCAAACAGTCTGAGGCTTTGGTTTGCGTAGAGCACGCGGATATTTGCAGAGGACTGACGTCGGCGTTCGTTCCGCTGTAGGTTGACTGTTGGGCTGCCTGTGTGTTGAGGTTTACGGCGTAATTTAAGTAATGACGTCTCGATCCGGTAAGCGCGAGCCGACCACTTCACTTCATCAACGCGGCCTCGACGCGTAGAGGAGCTCGGAACTCCCCCTCCCACCTTCTCCACTAACTCATTGACACTCTTGACTGACAGGCTTTGGCCTCTGTGCAAGCCATCTGCGGCGGTCTTGACGATGCCGAGCTATCGCAGCATCAACCTCGAGCTGCGCTCGCAGTATGAGATCAAGATCATTCCCGAATATGCTCCGCCCAAGCAGCCGTCCCCGGAAGCCCCAAAGCCTCGTTCGCATATGCACGAGACCAAGGCGCCTGAGGAGCCAAGTTCGATCTGCGATGTCTACATTCCTACGTACCCATCCTCTCAATTCTGGATCGCCTACTCCATCGCTCCGCCAATCCCACCAGCTGTTGCCTGCTTCCTCTTCAAGATGTACATCGATGGTGCGCACGTAGTCTCTTGGGGCTGCGGGAAGGAAGACGATTGGAAGGGAAAGACTATGTTCGGCCTGTACGAACGACCTCAAGACGAGTGTGGAAGAAAGAGGGTAGAGAAGCGGGCAATCTTCTTCGCGGGCAAGGATGACAAGGGAAAAGAGGTCCACTGGGGCGACCCCACAGCATTCATGGAAGTGAAGGTGCACAGAGCGAAAGGACGGAGGCGTATTGCGAGGCAAATCAAGGAATTCGGGAAAAGCTTCCATGGAGGCCACAAGCAAGGAACTGAGTACGCGAGCAACTTATCAAGGGCGCACAAAGGAGCTATTATAGGACTGCAGCTGACGAAAAAAACAGGCTCGTGAACGCCGGGGTGGCAATGAAAAACGAGCCTAAGCGCTTCTACGAATTTGCACTCATTGATCCGGTGGATCAGCCATTCGCCACGTTCAAGTACCACTATCGGACAATGGGTATGTCTACATGCCGAATGCCTCGTCACAGATCTAGGGAACACATTTCTGCGGCTGCCTGAAGGTCTTCGACGCGTTTTAGAAATCTTGACGAGCCAGGAGCTCATCAGTTCTAAAGCTCAGTTATTTCGCTGGGCCATTTCAGACAGTGGTACAGCGTCTATGACTCAAAAGACAGCATACTTACAGATTTCCGAAAATACCTTGACGCGCCGCAGTCAGCCGCAGAAGAGTGTACACAGACCTATGACGAGGCACGTATTCTTGTTGCATCAATCTGACAACGTGTAGATCAACTGCAGGAGCTCGGCCTACGTAGACTGGACGGTGGCTCGGCCGCTGGAGCTTCGGATAAAGCTTCGAAAGAAACCCTCCATGGCTGGGAGGACACGAGCGACGCTAAGACGGACAACAAGCATGACGCCTCGGGATTAAGTAGACATGCCATGCCTACGCAGGCTTCACTTCGTCCTCTGCCCCCATTGCCTACGAAGTTGCCGCCGCCCGCACGCCAGAGCGAGGTGAAGACACCAAAACACTTCCATAGGCTATCAATACCACCATCACTGAAGCTATCGCCGTCACACGCAACCTTCCCGAGGAGAGCGCCCCAAAAGCTCGCCGCTAGCAGCTCGCTGTCGACCTTGAGGGAGCAGCCGTCGGTCGACGAATGGATTCAGAAGACGCCAAGCCCGGTCAAGTCCATCAGAAACACCATCAGCTCGCCAACACCAGAGGGCAGGAAGCGAGGTAATTCTATTGCCGCGCTGAGGGAAGTCGTATCGAAGGCATTGAGGCGTCGCGGGGGGTCGGACTCGCCGGAGTCTGTCGATTCACCGCTGCTCGCTACGACTGAGCGATGCTAGATGGCACAAGGTACGTTGAGTGCTGCGATTTCCTTGATGGCGATTGTTCAAGCGGCTGGGAATAGGCACATGGTGTGCTCAAGGTCCTGTACCACACTTCTTTGATGCAGAAAATGGTAGACGGGCATCCGTCGAGGTTCTCATGTGATTGAATTGGCTCCAAGAATGTGCAGTCGAGGTCATGACTACTTGCCAACAGGTCTTCGGCCAAGCAAAGATGCAAGGACGATGCGCCCAGGTGTCGAATAGGGCAACATTGGGGTGGAGGAGGGATGGAAAGCAGCCGGCGTCACGCGCAGGCGGAGAAATGTACTGCCAAGGGATGAGGCAAGGCACAGGCGCGCGATTGGGTGCAGCGCTTCCCCGCAAGCTGCATGCTTCGTCAAGCTCCCAGGCCAGCTGACAGCTCTCCCAGCCCTCCTCCCTCGGCCTTTATTGACTTATACCTACCCCATGAACGCGATACCCTCTTCTTTGTGCTAGATTGCATCCTCCTTTGCATTGCATTGCGCTGCCCGCATTGTGCCCGCTCCCCACCCAACCACCCGCCATCACGATGCGCTCCTTCGGCGTCATCGCCACGGCCTCGACAGCGCTTCTGGCAGGCGTTGCTCAGGCTGCCCTCACTCCGCCCGTTCTTCCACTGATTGTCCGCAATCCGTATCTCAGCACATGGCTGGGTAATGCTAGGGAGGAGCCGTGGAAGAAATGGCCAATGTTCTGGACTGGTTCCGAGGTCAGCATCACCCACTCCTTCAACCTGCGTCGGGTTAGCTTTGGAAGCCTCCATTGAGCTTCGATTGTGCGTGGACACTGACGCTAACTCATCTCAACTAGGTCGGGTTTGCGATTCTAGCTTCCACTCCTGACACCAATACCGTGTTCCCGCTGCTTGGTCGGCCACAGGACTCGCTGAGCGAGAGGGCTAAAGAGTAGGTGGATCGTCGAGTTTACGGACGACCGAAGCTAACTTTCAGTTCAGCTATAACATTTCATATCCCAAGTATAAAGGTGCTACCTACGACGCGTCCGTGACCAACCTGTCCTACGCAATTCCGGCCCCCTCTAGAGGCGCCGATGACCTCCACCTGACCCTGTCCTTCCTGTCTCCGGTGACACCATCCTCGACACTACGGCAATCCCTTCCTGCTTCATACCTGAATATATATGTAGATGGCGATTTTGACATTGACGTTTATGTTGACGTCAACGGCCAATGGGTCAGTGGCAATCGAGGGAACAAGATCGAGTGGAAGCTTCACAGACCCGAGCCAGTCGGAGGCGCAGAGCCCCTCAAGACTTGGATCGTGAAGCGCCAAATTGAACAAGAGCTGACCGAATGGAGCGACCAGGCAGAGTGGGGGCAGCTTCACTTCTCCGCACCCACTGGTGTACGCCATGAGTCTGGTACTTCGGCGGTTCTGCGTCAGCGCTTCTCACGGACTGGAACCTTACAAAATGACAATGATGGCTCCTTCCGAGGCATCATGGACGAAGAGCCTGTATTTGCGTTCTCCAAGTCGTTCAGACTCGGAAATATTTCCAGCCTTGGCAAGAGCAAGACCTCGGACAGCGTCATGTTCACCATCGCTCACATCCAGGACCCAATCGTCCAATATGCCTCCGCACGAGGCTTGACGTATATGAGGCCATTATGGAAGTCTTGGTTCATTCACGACGAGGAAATGATCCGCTATCACTATGGCGATTTTGCGAATGCTGATGCCTTGGCACGGAACTACTCTGACCAGCTTAGGGTCGACGCCTACGAGTCTGGCTCGGAGAATTATGTCGACATCGTGGCTTTGTCTGCTCGCCAAACTATGGGCGCGACAAGTTTTGGAGGAACACCGGAAGCTCCACTCCTCTTCTTGAAGGAGATATCTTCTAATGGAAACTCGCAAACCGTTGATGTCATATTCCCGGCCTGGCCATTTTTCCTCTACACGAATCCGCGTTGGGGCGCATACCTTTTGCAACCACTGATCGAGCACCAGCTGAGCGGGCAGTACCCCAACAACTACTCGATGCACGATCTTGGCTACCATTTCCCGAACCTGACAGGCCATGCTGATGGAAGGGACGAGTACATGCCCGTGGAAGAATGCGGAGACATGTTAATCATGGGCCTCTCTCTGGTCAACTCCTTGAGCTACAACACTGATGCCGAGTCTCAGTCAATCTGGTCGACCGTTGGAAACACGAACTACCATGCGACATCGGAAAGCGCCTTTGCTCTTACTTCCTTGGGCATGCATGACGGCATCTCAGATATTGACGACACCTGGGGCGGGGGTACCAAGGGCGTCAAGCAAGCGCAAAAGTGGCTGAGGGAGAGCTATCCTCTCTGGAAGAAGTGGACTGGATATCTGGTTGAATACAGTCTAGAACCACACAATCAGCGTGAGCGCAAACCCATTCACTCCTAAAGATCGATCTGACAGACTTTTAGTTTGCACGGACGACTTCGCTGGCTGGCTAGCGCTGCAGACCAACCTTGCCCTCAAGGGAATCGTTGGTATCAAAGCGATGAGCGAGCTTGCGAATGTATTAGACTACAAAGACGATAAGAATGAATACCAAGTGAGCAACTCTTTCAAGCCATGGTTCGATGAAGGCTAACAGATTCAGAACATCTCCGAGACTTACATCGAGAAATGGCAAGAGTTTGGCATGTCGCGTGACGGCTCTCACGCCAAACTAGCATATGACTGGTATGGCAGTTGGACAACGCTCTACAGTCTCTACGCCGACGCTGTCCTATGTTTCCATCCATCAATCACGAATGAGATTTTAGTTTCCGAGGAGTCATCCGATGAGCCGGACTTCCACGCAGCTGGAAACCTCCAACACCCGTTGCCACTCGAAAAGGCCGCCAAGAACAGGAAAGGTGACCCACAGCACCCCATCAAACCTCCACCGGAGCGTAAGCCGATCACAAAGAATTTCATCCCAGACCACATCTACAAGGTCCAGTCCAAGTGGTACGCGGCTGTGATGCAGAAGTATGGGCTGCCGCTTGATTCTCGGCACTTGTACACCAAGTCCGATTGGGAGTTTGAGGCCGCTGCCGTGGCATCAAAGTCGGTCCGGTCCGATATCCTGGATCGTGTCGCCAATTGGCTCAACGAAACCGTCACGGACCGCCCTTTTACTGATCTGTATAACACTGAGGGCAATGGCGGGTTCCCCGGCCCGAACTTCTTTGCCAGACCTGTCATTGGTGGGCATTTCGCATTCTTGACCCTCGAGAGAGCGTGTGGTGGGACCGCCGCGAAGGCTTTTGAATTCGAGAACGAGGAGTAAAGAGGGGCTACGTGTTATGAGACACTTCAAGGAATGTATGCGCTCTGGTGATCATGTTTGGAGGGCCTGCTGCATTGAAATCGCGATGTAAGATCTTGATCTTGCTTTCAACCGCGTGCATTGGAGAAGAACGGGTGGTATATATGGTTTCCAATTTTCGTAGTACTAAATAAATGAGTAGGCATATCAAATAGCCCATTGCAGGATCATAAAATCCAGAACGAGCCAAGGTATTCGGATTATTCACAGTAGATTGTAGATTAGCATAGTGTTGATAGGCCCTGACTGACGCCGACGTTAAAGGAATGTCTTAACTCGAACATACGCCCTTCATTTCCTTTGTTTTGGGGCAAACACCACATTGTTAAGTGCCCACCTTAGACTTCGTTTTGATATTGATTAGACTAATAATATCGCCAGCTCTCAGACTTCGTGTGCCTGAAAGAGGTGCTGTATTGAGAATACGACGAAGATGCTGATGATAGCCTGTTTATCGCTGTGCCTTCGACCAACGCCGATGTGCAGAAGAAGGCTAAGTTGCTCATTGCGCAAAGAAAGTAGGTTTGTGGGGAGGTACGGACTGAGACGGAAGGAAGATACTAGGCGCGGAGGGGGGGCTCAATGTTTTTTGGACCGACTACGACGATTGAACGCCACGTCAATCTGAACGCCGCAGAGGTATCCCCGGTGCTAGTGAGGCAGGCAGAATTTGAGACCCAGCATGTTCTCGCTGTTTCCTACATGCTTCTGTTTCCTTGTGTTGATGCCTTGGAATACTTTTAGGTAAGTCCCCAAAAGAGAATAGTCATTCACTTGAAAATAAGCCTAGTCATGTGATCAGTTTTCGCTTGTTAGATCCAATGTTAGCCCGAACAACTTCGCGTCTTCTTACACGCCAGGGACACGCTGCGACACCCTCGTCACCTTAGCCATTGCCGTCGCCATTAACATCACATTGTGCAGCCTCAAGAGAATCTTTGCGCATCAAGGCTAACGACCGTAAAGCTAGTATTTATACCCCAAAGCGGGACCGGTTCATTGCACGCTACATTTCAAAATGACACTCCTTTGATTATTGGCCTACGTTACTATTACGTCCTACTAGCTCTTGCTTGTAGCGCAAAGTGGAACACGGCTTTGTTGGTACTTGATTCACCTATATGGGCTGCAGGTATCGTACATGAAGTCGATGGAGACTCCTTTACTGACTCATCAGCGACTGAAGTGTTGCCCGATTACAGAAAGGCGATTCACGTCTAAGTACCGGCATTTCCTACACAAGTCCGTGTTCAGCTTTCTAGAACTTTCCTGTTCCATTTCTCTTCCTTAATACGTCCCGCACCCTCCACCTAAGACCAGCTACCGCGTCACTCAAGCCCTACCGATACCCGAAACCCAGAATAGGCAGTATTACAGAGACTGCCGTAATGGATGACGATGGCTTGCGCATCATTCAAAGCGTGCTGGCGAGTATTGGACTGGATACCGGTCCACCACCAGATAGTCCAATGGATACCCACGGTGTCCAAGACGGTCGCAAGAGGAAGTGGGACCCCGTGAGGCAAGCTCTAATAAAGTGCTAGTAATGCCGCCGACCAGCGCGTGGTGGATATGCACTATCTAGACCAGGACTCCCGCAGTGCACTTCTGGAGGGACCATTAGTCCAAATCAGAGTCCACATTCCAGCGCAGGCAACAGTATTCTCAACAATCGACGACATACCAAAGCGTCTCCTCATGGCCATGTCTGGCACCGCACAAGAAGCTTTTCGTCACAATCCCGAATCCTTGCAGCTCTCCCTCAGCCGAGCGGACGCATCTCCAAAAGCTGTACGGTGGGTTTGCGCTTGGCTAATCAACAACTGCTTGCGATATAAGGCATGCAAGTTCGACTACCGCCAGGGTTGGGACTCTGATGTCAGCGTTTACCAGGTAACGAACACACTTCAGATCAAGGGTTCAATCACTCCCGCCCGTCTTTGGCTGCAGTCGCAAATATCGGCTGGGTGGCTGTCATACGATCAAGTGACGTTTCTGCTCACCGCGATTACCCCTAATGACCCTGTGTTCAAACACTTGGCACACAAGTATGCCTAGCTGAGGTACAACCAGCTCATTCCCGACCCCGAGAAGTTCTCCCGATACCTTCCAACGTTTCCGGCGTTTGAGAAGGCGATGGATCAGATCAACGAGGAAATGTTTAACGAGCGTGTGCTTCACACAATGCAAATTGCGAGGGAGCGCGCGGACTGCCGGCGGGCTTATCGCCGAGCGCAGAAACTCCTTCAGGCGCAGAATTTCAACACTCCGAGCGGTCGTGGAACGGGAATGTCACGAAAGGACTCGCAAGTTCGAGAAGAAGAGACATCTCCTAATACTAGCTCTGATAATAACTTGACGCTGGGTACGCATGTTCCAAAAGGACCAGGAGCTGCGCAAATTCGAGAACAAGAATCATCTACTACGGGCAACGCCGGCAGCGAGCGGGCTTTGGGTACGCAAGTTCAAAAAGGTTCGGGGAATGTGCAATCTTCACGACAAGAAACGTCTCCGACTAGTCGCTCTGATCGCCGCAAGCGCGCCATGAACAAGTATCTTCTACAACGCTCGAAAAAGGAAGAGACGGTACACTCAGAAAAGCGGGTCGCTGATACGAAACTTGAGCCCGGATTCAAGATACTGAGGATCGCGAACACTTGAGAAGTATCGCCCCAACGGTGACGAAGCGGCTCTGCGTGCCACAAGATGAGAAGAGGAATTATGTGGGAGGTGGCACAGTGAGTACTGGAAAAGAGAGAAAGACATGATCTGTTGTTTTGATGTAAGATTAGGGGGGGGTAAATTGGACATGACGAGCACTTCGAAACTGGGTAATGGGAATAAAAAAGGATGATGTACAGCAGAATAATGGGTGAAGCAAGGTGGTATGTTATTACATTGTCTTCAAAAATGAATAAAACAGGTACCTCTGGCGACGCATCCTTCAGTTTCGTAATAGGCAAGCTTGATTTGCTGCTTGTAAGTGAAAATGACCCGAAGCTCCGTGGAATTCCCCTAGTGGCTCGAGGACTTTCAATTTGCACTGTCGCGTACAGTGCTTGGTCATAAGTTTGAGCACCCGGATATACCACCGCACGGGTTCCACTCTTGACCACTCGACATCACCGTAAGGAGTAGCCCAGCTGGTATGTATCTAGCCAGTCAAAAGGTTGCCTAATACCTACTGCATTGTTATCGGCATTGTGTTCGGAGTTCTGAAAGCCCATAGGGGTACCCCATACAGCGGCAAGAGAGAGTGCAACTGCCCAAACTTTTATTGCAGGACTGCACAGTCCTAGATCATAAGTTGAGCACACGAGAATAACACTGCACGGATTCCACTCTTGCTCGGTCGATACCACTACGAGGAGTAGCCCAGCTAGGAGGTATACGGTTGGGTAAAAGGTAGTCTAATTTCCATTGTATCGACATTCATATCGTATTTGGAGTTTGGCAAGCCTATAGGTGTACCCCAAGCAACGGCAAGAGAGTGCCCAGACTTATGCTGCAGGACTGTATACGAGAGGATTCGTCGAATGCTGGCAGCTGGCGTAGGAAGGGCAAAGGATCAGTGAGGAAAGCATGAGTTGTATTGAGGTGCTAATGAGTGGCTATATAGTGAAGAGAGACCAGGGGTTGCAGGCAGCAACGGTGACAAAACAACAGGTGAACCCTGTCCAGCTGAGAAGTGAACCCTGTACAGCTGAGACGCGTAGACAGACGTGCGTAGGAGCATTCTAACTGGCTGCCAAAGATTCCATCATGCGCTGTCGAAATGTGACCTAAGAATGGCTGATGGAGCTGGTGACCACGAAATGGAGGGCGTATGGCGGTTATGGTTGGAATGTTCTCCATGTTTTAATCGTGGAGCTCCCATGATGCAGGACTGCACGGCGAGCAGCTATTAATGTCGGCGTCGAAGAGTTCTTCTGGATGGCATCTTTCAGTGGAGGCGACACCGCGCCTTCCGCTTTTCTTACAATCTTGTAACAACCTCACTTCAACACCACCAACCCTCTCTCTTTTCTTCCGTCACCACCTCCCTGCAGCGCTTGAGCCCAGCCGCCATCATGGATTGCGAGATCAAGAACGACGCCGTAGTTCTCAACGAGGACCTCGAGATCTCGTTCCGACGCACCATCCGCGTGCTCGACAACAAGCAGACCTCAAACCTTCCGCCGGACCTTGGAGCGTTCCCACTATATCCGGTCTCCAAATATGCGAAGACCCTGCCGGCCGACATGACTAGCAAAGGCGGGGTGTTCCTGCCGATGTATCATAAGTCCAAGCACGCTGCCCAGATAGCGTTGGGTTGTAGCTGAAAGAATTATAGAACGAGAGGCGATGTGGGTCAACTTCAACGCCAGAACTCCTTTCGCAATCAAGATCTATGTCGGTGGTATCAACGCAATCTCTGGAGAGCCCGCTCTCGAAAACATGGCTACCAAACTTCGCCGGGCAACGATGATGTCGAACAAGCAAGGCCGCCATCTATTGCAAGACTACATTGTGGTACCGGATCAACATTGGCTTGATGGTATTGCAACTTCTGCTGGAAATGTCAAACAATTGATGGCTATGCCTCATGGAGCAGGCTACTCAGTTGAAGCTCAGGCAGTTCGAGGTTACACCCAGCAAGGAGGCCATGAAATACCTGCAGAGAAAGCACTGGCAGGGCTTGATTACAGTTCGGACGCCCCACGGCGAGTCTCTGACGTTCGACGTCGCTTCCTCTGATACCATGCTGTCCTTGAAGAAGTTGATCAAGTCCGGCAAATCCATTGCGACGGAAGACCAGCGCCTGACTTACGGTGGGAAGAGCCTTGATGGTGCGCAAATATCATTCGTGCAATGCTCCAAGCTAATCTTGACGTAGACGCAAAGTGTTTTGAGGACTATCGAATTGAAAAGGTCAGTCTGCCGATATGTGCTCGAGACGCCTTCTGATTATCTGGCTCTAGGGCAATTCAATCGCCCTGTCCTTCGTAGGAAAAACTAAAGAAGCCTTTCACCAGGCACAACAGGATGAATGGAAGGCGGCTAGGGAAGCACGTGAGCTAGCACATGCTCTAAGGAGAGCTGCGCTGCTGAAGAAGCGTGATCGCGAAGAGATGGAATCCTCCGGAAGCTGGAGCGGCACGGTCGTCGTTAAGACCAAGGCTGGAAAGCAAATCCAGCTGGAATTTGACTACGCAGACACGATCGACGATATCAAGACCAGAATAGAATATAAGGAAGGCATTCCTCCGGACCAGCAGAGATTGGTCTTCAAGGGAAGGCAAATGGATGGTTAGTAAAATGCCCAATGAAACGTTCTTGGCTAAATAACCCGATCTATAGATGGTAAAACTATGTCAGACTATGGCGTGGCCACTGTAAGTGCAGACGATTTCAATGGAAGAATCACTCTGATTTACTATAGGGCGATACGATTCACATTTTTCTCCGACTCAGAGGTGGCGGGGGCGACCCTCTTGCTGAGCAAGCTGATAGCGCTCAGATGGGACTAGCTGCTGGCGGTCAGATCAAACAAGTCATCAAACGAGACGACTACGATCCCTCTAAGTGGATTCCTGCGTTGACAACTGTGTTCAACATTCAGATCCTCAATACGAATACCTTCCGATCCGTCACCGGCGTTTCTGCCCCACCCACGCCAATTACGATGGAGACTTACGTCAAGCACGGTCTGCCCTTCTTTTCACTGGATGAATCCCCCTCCAGCGTTGCACGAGAGTTCAACCCTGTCAAATCTGTCGCTGAGATTGATGAGAAGGAGACAGACTTGCATCCACAGACCCTTGTCAACATCCTGCCTAGCGCCACAATCACGGGTATGATATACATTGGCGAATGTCCTACTGCCTACAAGAACCAAGACTAACACTCGTGACAGAAGTTGAGATAGGTCTCACCAATCCGAACGGTCCAATGATTACCTTCCGCACGCGCAAGGATCTGGAGGCAGATGGTTACAACGTGGTCAAATTCTGATGGACGTCGCTGATAGGGTTGAGTCACAGTGGCAGCTAGATTATACTGCATCTTCAGGTAGTTCACTTCAACTCTAGTAGTCTCTTGGTGGCTAAGTCACTGCGATGGCTCTAAGCTGGCAGTTTCTTTTCTACACTTCTTCACATGTTTCATCCTTGCGACTTCTCTTCATTTCGATCAGGATGAAATTGAGAACCTAGCAGTGAAAAAGGCCTTTACCTATTGGTTTTCTAGTTCTGAAAGCTCAGGCAAGCTGCCGCTTAGTTCTCACTCAGATCGAAATGAAAACACTTGGACAAATCAGTCTTTGACAGCTTATGAGCTTGATTTCAATTCTTGTATCGAATGAATAAACGCTGACCATGAAAATCAGCCATGCTCTCCATCGGCTGCCCGAGCACGCAGGCACTGGCTGCTGATACCCACCCTAGACACTAGTAGCGCCCCTAACTTCGCATGATGTCCAACCCATACTCCATGATAATATTCTGTCTTCAAGCCCTAAGCTCCGCCGTCGCTCATACCAGACGCCTGTAGGGCATCGTATTCAACGCCAGCTTTGAAGTGTCCGCTGTTATTTTTCCTCTGCCGGTGACCTGCTTTCCCCTTCATATAAGTTCCAAGAACGTGATTATCCGATTCTGCGCATCATTGAGATAGTGTGCCGTCCCCGCGGCTAGTATACCTTCCCTCTGCTCCACAATCCACGCTCTGATCCTATCGAGCTTCCAATTCCCAAGCCCCCCGCGGGCGTCCGCGAATACAGCGGCACAGACACCACGGGCAAAAGTTGAGCCGTCACTCGTAGCGCAGCCGTCCGCGGACTCAGCAGCGGAGGCACCTGTAGCATACCCGGGAGAACATCGTCGCCGCGCGCCTTCGCCGTCATGAAGTCGTACCTGATCTCGAGATTAGTCTTTAGCTCTGGCTGCGTCTCGAGGTACTTCTGCATCTTGTCGACATCCATCACCGTGTCCACAAACCCAAATTGCAAGATTGTCGCCCATCGGCTGCACGAACCGAAGCGCTTCGTTCGATATTATTGCGTTCTCCCAGATCCCCTCGACCTCCTCGACCGTGATCGCACGGCTCTTGAGTGCGTCGAGGATCATGTCGGCCATCTGGCACGCTTCGCTCGTCATGCCGAAGAGCCACAGCGCTTGGTGGATCTGGATGCACTGGGTGAGGGAGGCGGGCGCGTGGAAGATGATAGTCGCAGCGCTAAGGCAGCTCTCCCAGAGCTAGCAGAGGACCGCATCGATGCCGTAGATGTGCTGGACCGTGGGTGGGATGAGGATGCGGTCGTTGCGGATGAAGGTCGAGGCGGTGGGTGAAAGGGCTCTGAGCATTATGATAGGCACGTGCGTTAGTGGGCACGCGCCGTTGAATTCCATGATCACATAGGCGTAGGGTGGTGCTGTGAGGACGGTTTGGCGGATGGGGGAGGAGTAGTCGCGCGATAAGGATACGGTTCTCCGGGGTGCGTGTGGCTGTCGCCGTTGCGGTTTGTTGCTGCGATGTCATGGCGATGGAGCGTTTGATGCTTCGGCACCATGGCGATTTGGAGACGCTGAAGCCATTTGATGCTAAAGGTAATGGTTTTGAGAGTCGGAAAAAGACTGTTAACTGAGCAAATCGGAGTTTCTGGCTCATATCATGGCAGGTGAAAGTTCGGGAAAGCAGCGGTGTACTGACACGTGGTATGAAATAAGTTCCTATCGCGTAACAAGATGGAGAAGAGATTGGACGTGTTGTGATTGCTTTCAATAATGATGTTGTTAAGAAGAGATGGAGAGAGAGTCTAGAGGAGATGAAGCTACTTACTACCGTGCCTACCATGCCCGCCGTTCGTAGGTAGCCCTCGCCGCTCTTTCCCGACCAATTCGGTCACTGCTGAGATGGTGCATTTGGCAGCCAGTTAGAATGCTCCTACGCACGTCTGTCTACGCGTCTCAGCTGTACAGGGTTCACTTCTCAGCTGGACAGGGTTCACCTGTTGTTTTGTCACCGTTGCTGCCTGCAACCCCTGGTCTCTCTTCACTATATAGCCACTCATTAGCACCTCAATACAACTCATGCTTTCCTCACTGATCCTTTGCCCTTCCTACGCCAGCTGCCAGTTATGAGCCCGGCCTAACGCTACAATCCATCGTTGTATTCTCCTCCTACATCACCTGGCTAGGAAGTCACGTGCCTCGCTACGTTGCCCCTATCAGCTGCTGCACGCGCTATCTGCCGTACACGCGCTATTTGCTGCAACAAGCATCCACAAAAGCATTATCAGTATATTAGTTACCGTTCTTTCGAACCTGACTAGTATGGATTCATCAAACATCAAGCTGCTATCCACAACAAAAGTCATCCTGGCATCAGGACCAGACTGGAAATTGTGGATAAATCAGATCAAAACACACGCCGAAAGCTTACGTGTCTGGCAGTATATCGACCCTGATGCTACCACTCGTCTTCCTGCAAAGGCCGCACCTATTGAGCCTACTATTCGAATGGCCATGACAAATGCTAGCGCCACGGGAAACGAACCGGACATCACTGAGCTCAGCGATGAGCAATACAAGAAGTACGACAGGCTGGTCAAGAAGTACGCCATGGAGGAAAAGGCCTACGAAAAGCACGTAACGGCCCTGTTCTCTGTGCAAACGCGAATCAGCGAATCTGTAGTAGTAGCCCTGCAGCACTACTACGTAGGCAAGCCCGTATCCGAATGGCTAGCTATCCTCAAAGCAGCCATAGCACCATCAGACCAGAACAGCAAGCTACGAATTGCCGCCAACTACAACCGGCTACTATCGCCACCAAGAAACCAGAACGTTGACATTTGGATGGCCAACTTCCTCCTAGCATACAATGCTGCGAAGGAAGAGAACCTACCTGATGTTGCAGGCGATCGAGCAGTGCACAACTTCCTGCACGTGATCTCAACACTACAACCCGAATTTACGACGTACTGGAAACAAAAGGTGCAGAATGCACTAGTCAAAGGCAAACCGCTGCCAACCGTCGAACAGCTGCACGGTGCCCTACGGAACGATCGCGACCAGAACGCTATTCAGCAAGGAAAAGC